GCGGCGAGAACCTCGGGAGCCACTGGGGCGAGCGCGTCAGTGTCCACCAGAGGGCGCTGTCGGCTCGCGGAGCGGGGCGCTGGCTGCCCGGGGCCCAGCGGTGCGGCCCAGCGTCAGAGCGCGCAGCGACTTTGTCACTGCAGGGTTGGAGGGTGGGTTGCAGAGGAGAGAAGAGACCCACCCATCCTCAAGGCACTAATTTGGGCAAGGAGGAAGAGACCCACAAGAAGACTATTTGACACTCTTCTCATTTCAAATGTGTATAGAGCACAAAGTTGCATTTACCATGTCCAAGATACCGAGGAGTACCTAGATGAGTCATTCTGGGTCTCCAAATTTAAAGACCTTTAGGGAAGTGGCGGTATCAAAGACAGGTACCAAAGAACTGTACTACAGTATAGTAGGGGGAGGCAGGAACTCCAACAAGACGTGAGGATGAAGCGGTAGGAGAGTTGAGGGAGGAGTTACAGCTTCAGCTAGGGGATGAGGCCCGGTGCATGGAGAACTTGGGTCTTAAAGTGGCACAGCTTCGCCGCTTTCCAGCACATGTGTTGCAACAGAACCTGCGGATTTAAGCAGTTCCGGTTATACGTTCTGTTACACCTAAATGCTTATCAGTGACAAAAGGCAATATTCCTTGCCCTTTAGCCCCAGCTTGTTGATCCTGAAAGGTAAATTAGAAGTAGAAACGGATTCACCAAATATCCAGAATGTGCTAGAGATATATAACCTAGTCTGAACAATTAGATCAGTCATTCTGCTAATTGGTAAAATATCCACAGGGGAGCCCGGGAGACAGCTGTTACAGTTGGTTACAGGTACCATCAAATCATTCGCCGAAAATACCTCAATACTTCTGTTGGTGTTGGGAGAGGAGACGCAAAAATATAGAAGTTGAAGAACAACAAAGTCTTTCAGTCTTTTTGTTTTAAAGACTTTTATTACCAAACAACTTAAGGGAGAACTCTATCAATATCATAGTTCCTTTGAGAATTACATTATTATAGTATAGATTATTATTGAAAGAATTATTATATTGCACTGTGCTAAGGCTAGTTTAATTTGGAGCCAATAAATTAAAACAAATCTAGACCTTAGGTTTATAAAAATGTTGTTTCCAAGGAATTAAAATGTAATTGACATGATTATCATTAAATAATGCCGCATTGGTTCCGGCAAGGCAATGTTGAAAGAACAGTCAATGTATAAGGTATAAGATTTGGGTCTAGACCTCTAGTTAGTGTTTTGGGTTTTTTCTTTCTTTCTTTCTTTTTTTGGCAAGTCAGTTAACTTCTCCAGGTCTCAGTTTCCTTATTTAACAGAGGAATTTAATAATAAAGAATATAGTCTGGGTGCAGTGTCTGATGCCCGTAATCCCAGCACTTTGGGAGGCTGAGGCAGGTGGATCACTTGAGGTCAGGAGTTTGACACCAGCCTGGCCAATATGGTGAAACCCTGTCTGTACTCAAAACATACAAAAATTAGCTGGGTGTGGTGGTGTGTGCCTATAATCTCAGTTACTCAGGAGGCTGAGACAGGAAAACTGCTTGAATCAGGGAGGCTGAGGTTGTAGCAGCGAGACGAGATTGTGTGCCACTGCACTCCAGCCTGGGTGACAAAGCAAGACTCCATCTCAAAAAATAAAATCAACCAACCAACCAACCAACCAACCAAGTGATCTCTCAAATCCCACAGAGTATAACAAGTAAGTCTTCTCATTTCTGTTGGGCCCAAATGCCTCCTTTGTGCTGCTGTGGTTCTAAAGTGGATTTAAGGACCTGCACGTCCCATGACGTGTTAAGCACATAGAGGGAGGGGAAAGCAGCTTGAATGGCTGCTGGTTCTGATATTAGGCAGGATTCTCCACATCATCTGGAGTCTTCTGTATGCAGTAGCCCAGAGCAAAAGGGAGGGAGGATGGTCAAACAGTCTGACTCTTACTGTGATTATTGCTACCCTAAGTTCCTACAGTGCTTTCTGAGTGTGCTGATTATTTGTCATTTATTGTGTGCCACCTTGAATTATTTTTCTGCACCTGTCATTTGAGAAGAGTGTCTATGGCAGTCTTCAGTGCTATTCACCAAATATTCCATGCTCCTTGCTGGTACGGATGGTAGAACTTCCCAGACCCTGTGGTTGGGGAAGGCGGGATCACAAGACTGGTTCTAGCTAACAATTAGTGAGCAGAAGTGATGTTTAGCACTTCCAGATGGATTTTGCGAGTGGGGGCAGGTGGAGGACAGGGTTTGGCTCTGTTGCCTAGGCTGAAGTGCAGTGGCACAATCTTGACTCACTGCAGCCTCCTCAAGCAATTCTCCCACCTCAGCCTACCAGGTAGCAGGGATTACAGGTGCCCACCACCATGTTCAGCTATGGTTTATTTTATTTTATTTTATTTTATTTTGTAGAGATGAGGTTTTGCCAACCAGGCTGCTCTGGAACTCCTGGGCTCAAGTGATCATCCCTCCAGGGCCTCCCAAAATGCCGGGATTACAGGCATGAGCCACCAGGTAGACTATTTAATTGCCTGTGTAAGACCCTCCAGACATCCTTTTTCTCTCTGCCCATGACTAGCCATGTTCCAGATGGTGACTTTTTAGCCAGCCTGGATCCAGGAGTGAGAATGATGCTAATGGGAAGCAGAGCTCCCAGACAATCTGCCATGGACCTAGAGAGCATGCCTGAGAAGAAAGCTTTGTTCTTTTAAGGTGTTGGGATTTGGGGGGTGCTTATTACAGCAGCATGACCTAGCCAATCCTGACTAATAAAGGGCCATTGTGTGTTGTCATTTTTTGTTTCCCCAGTGCTTCAATGACATGACACTTACAACTGACTGTTAAATAAAGGACTGACGAATTGATCTACCCATCTCCCCAGGTAGAGTAGAGATTATCCATATAGCTATTTATCCTCCCTGGAGCACCTGCCCTAGTGTCCTGGATATATAGCAAGTACTTAGTAAAGACCCTTGGATTGACATACGAACTTAAAAGTCCAAGACAGGGGCCTGGCGCAAGTGACTCACGCTTGTAATCCCAGAACTTTGGGAGGCTGATGCAGGAGGATCACTGGAGTCCAGGAGTTCAAGACCAGCTTGAGCAACATAGTGAGACCCCATCTCTACAAAAACAATCAAAAAAATTCAGCTGGGCATGGTGGCACATGCCTGTAGTCCCAGTCACTCAGAAGGCTGAGGTGGGAGAATTCCTTAAGTCTGGGAGGTCAGGGCTGCAGTGAACTGTGATTGTGTCACTGTATTCCAGCCTGGGCCACAGAGTGAGACTCTGTCTCTTAAAAAAAAAAAAAAAAAAAAACCCAAGACACAACCCAACATCCGACCCACAGAAGATGGAGAATGTTATGCTATTCTCCAAATGGCGTCCTAGCAAGCAGGGATCATAGCCACAGGCCCTGAGGAAGAGAGGCACCAGCCCATCTCCTCCTGCATCCATCAGCAAGCTCGATGGGGCTGCCTCTGATCCCTCCACCTCTTTGCAGGTATTAAGTGAAGCTTTGCCTGAGTCACTGCAACAGAATACAGAGCAGAGATGGGGCCAAAATAAGACATGGCAGGGCAGACAAGAGCCTGCCACAGGAGCACAGGTGTGGGGCAGAGTTTGAAGTGGGGCTCAGGATCGGGTGGGGAATAGGCTGAAGCAGGGCCAGCAGAGCTCTGGAAGGTTTCGGTGTCATTGTACTGCTGCGCGTTCCATCCCATGGCCCAGGTGGTTGGATTCTGTTCAGCGGAGCATGTGTGGAATGTATGATAGACCCTGACCAGGCAGACCTTTGCAGAAGCCCATTAACATTCTATAAATGGCAACAACCAGCACAGCAACAGGGACATGAATATTAACGCGCTAGTCTAAGGTTCTGGCTCCCCCTTCCCCGCTTCCTCCAGCTGATCTAAACAGTATCCACAGACAGTTTCAATTTTTGATTATACAGAGCGTAAATCATCTTCAGACTTGGATCTTCTCTTTCTCTAATACCCTGTTTTGAGGTGAGCTGTTTCTGGAGGAAAATTACAGAAGAGAAAAATATTTACCCATCACAAAATCGCCTTTATAAAGCATTAACACTCGTTATGCTACTTGCCCGCTGGAATGTTCGGTGTCTCTCCAGGAAAAAGTTGAGACCCATCTGCAGGCCCTCTGAGGTCTTAACTATCAGGTTCCTACTTACTTCATCTCCTGTTACTCACTGCCACAAGTGGGGCACACCTGGCCACTTACCTGAAGTGCCATGGCTTTCCTACCTGTATACTTTATACTCTTTGCAGCCAGTAGCCTTCCCTTTCCTCTTTGCTGCTGGAAGAACTCCTGTCGGAAAGCCTAGACTCGGCTCAAAGGATTCTGCTGGTTGATGCCTTCCCAGGCTCCCCCGGCAAAGGGGTGATCCTTCCTCTGTGCCACTCCCATCCTTAGATCTACTGCAACCCTGATTGCCCTGTCCTGGGCACATTTGTTGTTCTATTATTTTCTCATAAGCCTTAATTTTGAAAGGAGAACCATTTTGGTCATCTTTGTTAAATTATTGTATCATTTTCTTCCTTCTCACAAAGATTATGAAATAACTAGGCCACAGTTGGAATCCAAAGGACATTTTACTCAATGTATATGCTAACCATTGTCTTATCCTTTGGGATTGGAGACAGGGGCCGAGGGTAGGATGAAGCTGGCAATAATTTCTGATTGGAATTTTACCTTCTAAGCCCCCTCCTTGGGCTTTTCTTTTCACATGAAACCTGGAGCAGGGGGTGGAGACCTGCCTCTCCTTCAGGAAAACTTAAGAGTTTTCCCTTAGACAAGCTCACATCTGGCAGCTCCATGATGCCCCTGGGGAATACACATTTTCATTTGGCCAAGTTTGAGAGTAGGAAGGCGAGAGATTTATTTAGAAATAAGGAGGTAATAAGGGCAGAAAACTAGCAGTGTTTGCACACAGACTACTAGCATTCTCCCTTTTTATGTAAACATTAATCCAATACAAAACATGTATTTTGTTTGACAAAGTCTTTTATTACCCCTACTCCGAAGGAGTTGCTGTAATGGAAAGGAGACAAGCATTGGTTGCCCCTGAGAATTGCAGTCTGGTGATTTACACAGAGTAACAGTCTGCTGAGAGGCAGAGGCTGCCTTCCCATAACCTCACCCAAGATGCTAGGAAATGGTGCTGAAAGTTTGTAGGTTATTTGTTTAAAGATAGTCACTGAGATGGTAACAGACCCTATTTAATATATTTGGGGGCTGCGCATGGTGGCTCCTGCCTCTACAGGACTTACCCAAAGCAAGTAGTGAGAAGGTATGAAGCACCAATTAGTCAAGGATCCCTAACTCCATGAAATCCTAGACTTTCCAGACTTCCCAACAGGATCAGGACTAGGGTGAGGTGAGTGATGCACTCGGCTCAGGTACAAAATTTAACGGGTGCCAATAAACTCAGTAGTATAAATATTTTAGTGCAATATTTAAAATTTAAAATTTAAATTTTAATGTTTTTAAAATTTAAAATGTGGATATTGTGTCCATTCTGGATTCTCACATTTTTATTTTTTAAAAATTGTACTAAAATCTTTATCTTGATTACGTTTATCTCACTCATCTCACTTTGGTGCTGGCTCTGCTTCCCAAATGCGTTTTCAGCCATATTTGCCACTGCCTTCCATCACATGCCCTGGAAAGGGGGAAAGAGGCTTCATGAGAATAGCAGGGTGGAAGGAAGAAGCAAAAGGGAAAAAAGTAATAATCAAAGAAATAAAAATTAAACAGCAGTGAGATACCTCTGCTTGTGCTTTGTCAAATGTACATATTTTAAGACATCCTACCTCCAGCTGGGGGAGTGGCAGGGTAAGACAACCATTGAAATCCTGGCTCTTTACATCGGAGCTACCTAGATCGTACGGAAGACTGAATCTTAGCACCATCTCTACCCAGCTGCCCTGTTCAACAGGGCAGGCTGCGAGAAATTACTGTATTAGGAAGCTCCAGAGCGGTTGCAGGCATAGAAGATGGCCGTGGGACTTTTCTGATCATTTTTGGGACCTGTTTGCTGCACTTGATATCCTGTTTTTCCAGAGGACTGCCTCCTTCCTCGCGTTTAAGCCTTTTTAAGCTTTTAAGCCACAGGCAATGATAACCTTTATCCACTGAGGAAAAAGTGATCGGAAGGCGCGTTTTAAATTTTGGTTTACACTAACCAGACCCGCCAGATGAACACTCAGCTTACCACAATACCTACAAATTCCCAGACTTGACTTGGCAGAAGGGCGAGGGCGGAGGTTTTCTTTCCCCACTTGCATAACCCCCAGCTCCCCGGCTGCGGAGCCGACCTCTTACCCGCCGCCGTCTTCGCGGGTGTCCCAGCCGGGCCGCGCCCCGGGGCCCCGCGCTGCGGGCCCTGCCCTCCCAGGTTCCCAGTCTTGGGCGCGGGGCAGTCCCTCACCGGCCGCCGGCCCCGTCCCGGCTCCCCGCCGAGGAAATTTTTCCCCAGCAGCCCAGGACTCGCCTCACGTGACCAGCCGCAGCGGCGGCTTCCAGCGAGAGTTTAAAGGTTACGGAGGAAATTAGCATGGACACAGCCACTCACTCCTCAGAGGGCGCGCCCCGTTTTCCCGCAGTCCGGACGGCGGCTGTTAGCGCGCTGATCAGAGCCGAAGTCCCCCAAAGGGGCACCGATAAGGCCCAGAGCAAATAGGAACAGTCACTTTGCAAAAAATAGAACACAAACCAAGCCGGGGCTCTACCGAGTTTTCGCTTGTCAACAAGTTCTTGCAGCCTGCGAAGTCCAGGACAGATCCCAAAGGGGAGAATGTCCCCAAAGAAAGGCAAGAGAGAAGAATAGAGTTTAAAACCTCACCCGAGCCATGCTTGTCCCTCCCTCTGCCCCCTCCCCCACCACCGTGGATCACAGCGTCCCGGGACAGAGTGACAGATGGGCCAGAACTCCGCAAGCTGCTCCTGCCAGCCGCCGCCCGAGTGGCGGTGGTCAGGGCGAGGGTCCCGAGGCCTCTGGGGCAACAGGGCTCCCTCCACTCCCCCATCCCCGGCTCTAAAAGACAGTGTTGACCGCAGGGTCCCCGAGAGATGCGCGGCCCGGCGGGGCCCATCCGTGGCCATCCACGGCCCCCGGCACGCGCACCCAGCCCAGCGCCGCCGCTCCCGCGGGTCCCGCGCGGGGTCCTCCCCAGGCTCCCCCGCCCGCCGCCGCGACCCCGGGCAGCCTCGCCCGCTCTCCACGGTTCTCTCTTCGGCTCACTTTTTCCGTATTGCTCCCCCAACCGGCAAAAACTTTCTATTTCCCCAAACACTGCCGTGCGCGCGCGCGCGTGCACACACACTCACACACACACTCACACACACTGACGTCTTTTGCGCATTTCCTGCATTAGAGGGAGGGAGACTCGCTCGCACACCGACCGAGGGAGAGGAGACCGCGGGGGAGCGCGGGCTGGCGGGCGGCGAGCGAGCGGCAGCCGAGAGCTGGGACGCGGGGAGCGCGGCGGGCGGGCGCCGGCGCCCAGGAGGTGGGGCCGCGCTGAGTCGCAGTCCCGGCCCCGCCGCCGCGCTGCGCACCGCCGGGTGCTGGCCTGCGCCCCCGAGCCGGATCGGCGGCCGCCCGGACTCCGAGCCGGCGCGGATGTGAGATTCCGGGCTCCTGGCGCCTCCCGATCGCCGACTCCGGCGCGGCGCTGCTTCGCCCAGGAGGCGGCGGCCCCGGCTGGTCGTGGGGCTTGTGGATTTTTAAAAATTTGGCTCCGAGGAGGACCATTTCCTCTCGACATGCATCCCTCCGGATAAACTGAACATCCCTCCGTCCACCCCCCGCCCCGCGCGGCCAGAGGCAGGCGCTGAGTGTGCGAAGAGGATCCGGGTTGAAATCTGCGCCCCCGGTTCTCGTCCCCGCCCCGTCCCACCGCCCCATCCCCCTCCCGGAGTCGAAATTTCCCGGGATTATGTTTCGGAAAGGTAGGTAAGCGCCGGGCGCGGCGCCCGCTTTCCCGCAGCCCGGAGTCGGAGAGCCAGCGAGGCGGCAAGGCAGCCCCTGCGGCTTGCAGCGGAGCCGACAGCTCGTCTTCTCTTCTGGAGGTGCAGCTGGTGGTCGCGGGGAGAGACTTGCTCCAAACACGGACATTCCCCAGCTCTCCCCCCTCCCTGTTTTCCGTTAGGAACCCGGCGAGGAAATACATGCACTGGCTGAGACTCGCCCGCGCCAGGGCGCAACGCCACAAGGTGTAGGGAGTGTGTGGGGTGGGGCGAAAGGGGACCCAAGAGTCCCTGTGGCTCGGAGTGCCGGGCCGTCGGTTCTTCATTCCTGCCCTCGGGGCAGACGGAGTGACCCCGGCCCCCACTCCCCGCCCCGACCATGGTAGTGTTCAATGGCCTTCTTAAGATCAAAATCTGCGAGGCCGTGAGCTTGAAGCCCACAGCCTGGTCGCTGCGCCATGCGGTGGGACCCCGGCCGCAGACTTTCCTTCTCGACCCCTACATTGCTCTCAATGTGGACGACTCGCGCATTGGCCAAACGGCCACCAAGCAGAAGACCAACAGCCCGGCCTGGCACGACGAGTTCGTCACCGATGTGTGCAACGGGCGCAAGATCGAGCTGGCTGTCTTTCACGATGCCCCCATAGGCTACGACGACTTCGTGGCCAACTGCACCATCCAGTTTGAGGAGCTGCTGCAGAACGGGAGCCGCCACTTCGAGGACTGGGTGAGTCCGGCGCCTCCACGTCGGTCCGGGAACCCGGTTGTGGGGTCCCGGGGAAAGACTCGCTGGCCTTGATCGTAGGGGTCCGGGACTTACTGACGACTGGGGTGTGTGTGTGTGTCTGTAAATCTCAGTTTCCTTGAGGAGGTGCACTTCACTTCATAGTTGGGGAGAAACAGGCACTGGCGAGGAAGATGAGACTTGGAAAGAGGATGTGGCCCTCTGCCCCCTCTGTGCCCTCCAGATGGTGGGTGCTGCGGGAGGTTTGCAAACTGGGAGAGCCTGGGCCGCCGGTGCTGAAGGTTGGCCGAGGACCCGGCTTTCTTCCGCAGGCGCGTGGTGGGCTGGCTGTGTGTGATTGTGTGTGGGTGGGTCCCTCCGTCCTTGGAAAGGCACGTGGAGCCTTTGACTGAAGGCTTCTTGCACGTCCTGGCTTTGTCCTGCTTAGCCGAGCGAGGAGTTGCTTTATTTTTCCCTCCGAGAGGGAGCTGGCTTGTTTCTGTTCTCCTGCATGGTGGTTAGCTCATCTTCTGACATACGAGTAGAAAAAATGTGTTCTCCAGGATGTCTCCTCTACGGTCCCAGAAACATCAGTCGGGCTTGTTTTGTCCAATTCATTGCCCATCCATGCAGAATGAATGTTGCATTTTAAGAAGGGTTCTGCCTGTGGGTAATTGGAAGTCAGCGCTTTGAATCTTATTTAAAGTTATATTGTTTCTCTGTTTTGATTGTTAAGATACTGTGCAATAAAAGACGATTTCTAAGCCTGAGATTGAGTTGTTAATTGATTTCATTGTGAAACTATTAAGGATTTGGAAATAGGTCTTGTCTCAATCTACTATAAACCAAATGCATCCAACCTTGGCACTTGGACAAGCGAAGAGAAGGAAACCTTCGTTTAGCTTTTTGTATTTGTTTTTGGGGTTTTTTTTGGTTTTCTTTTGCTCTTCTTGGAAGGAAGGTATTAATTTAGGACATGGATTTTTGTGTTTTCAGGTTTGTTACATGTTTCCACCAAGAGCAAGTGCAAGCGTTCCTCTGGAGGTATATGCTTTCGGGGTTCTTTGGTCTACGGAAAAAGTGAGAGAGCTATCTAAGCCTCAAAAGTGGTGTAGAGCAATTGCTTTCTGTTGAAAACCAGATAACTTCATGAATGTCCTAGAGGTCAGAGGTTGCACATGAATCACCTTGGCATATCACCTTACACATTTTTTTCAAGGACACGGAGTTTTAGGGAAAAATAGGAGAGAGCCTGTTGTTTTTATGCTCATGGCTGTGATGTAGTCTGCCTGAAACCATGGTTACGGTTTCACAGGAAAGCTCCAACAAGCCACATGCGTAGAACTCTAGATTTGTGGTTTGCACTTTGGAAAGCAGGCAAACCTTTATGGAATCCTGAGAACTCCATGCCATTCTATTCTACTTCACAGATGTCCCTCATCTCTGCTTCCCTCAGCCCCCACAACAGAGCTCCCACTCATTCCCCATTTCCTTTCCATGCATGGCCTTTGGGCTCTTTCCTCATGGAGGCAGTGCATATGAGAGGGGGAGTGGAAGGGCTAACTCATTTCAGAGGCAAACCTTGACACTGAAAACCTGTGATTTTGGAGTTGTTGTTTTTGGACAGGAAGGGGATGGAAAAAACTTGACGCTGGTAGCTAGGAGATGGGGGCCTTTTGCAGTGTATGCAGTTGAGGGGCTTTGACAGTGGGGCAGAAAGCAGGGACAAGGAGCAGCAGGTCTGCATTTATCCATAGAACAGATGTTGGTTGGAGGGAGAGCGTCTTTGTATCTCTGGTGATGTTTTGCTGGGGCACACCACAAACTCTGGGAGCTTCAGGACACTGTCCCCACCTTCATCACTCCTAGTGAAGCATGCAGTGGGAACTTGTTTGGTGATCATCCTCTAAGGTTCTCAAATTCATGTTGGATTTGGCCCTAGACCAGATCATTTAGTGCACAGGCAAGTTTTACAGATGAGGACGTTGAGTTCCAGAAAAGTTAATTGGGGACCGAGGGTCACGTGACAAGCAAAGGTGGGTTGGAAGTAGGGCCCTCACCTCCTGTTGCCCATGGCTTGTCTGATGGGGAGCCGAGCCTGTCCATCTGGCCTCCCAGCCTGTTCTCCCTGCAGATCCATGAGCTGTGTCCCCGACATTTTTATTGTGCTTGATAACTTCATCTCTTTTGCCTTATAGCAAGTGTGAATTAGGTATGGCAGGTGTTGGACAAACTAAAAAACTTGAGATAGAGAAGCCCAAAGTCTCAAGGGTGAATCAAGTGGTGGAGCAGGTACAGAATGCCCATCTGTTTTCACCAGAGGATGTTGTGGCCACTCTGGTTCTTCCAGGCTGAAGGTGGGGACTCACTGGTAGGGGTAACTGGCCCTTGGAAATGGAGACAAGTTGCAACTGGGCTAAGTTCACCTTTCCCAGTCTTAACATTCAGGGTAAACCCACCGGTTCATAGCTTTGGGTAGAATTCCCTGGGCTCAGGTCTCTGCACTCCTTACCTGGCAGGAATGAAGAGACACACCCTTCTCAGGTGTGGCTAAGAGATCTGGCCTGAAGTAAGGGGGTGTGGACAGCATGAAGCAGCCGCTTCTCTCATTGCTGCGGAACATCGAATTCAACTGCACTTTGAATTTACTTGTATTCCTGGAGTTCCTGTTTTGTGCTCATGTCTAACCAGGGAAGCTTCGTACTGTGGGCAATCCAGAGGAAAATGAGGCCCTGGGTTACTCTCAGGGGGCTTCCATTTCACTAAGGAATTGACACCAAGTATCCACATATACATCAAGCTTGTCTAACCCATGGCCTGTGGGCCGCATGTGGCCCAGGATGGCTTTGAATGCAGCCCAACACAAATTTGTAAACATTCTTAAAACATTATAAGTTTTTTTGCATTTTTTTTTTTTAGCTTATCAGCTATCATTAGTGTTAGTATATTTTATGTGTGGCCCAAGACAATTCTTCCAGTGTGGCCCAGGGAGGCCAAAAGTTGGACACCCTGATATAGACACTAAACTAACAATTAGGTTCCACACAGGTGGTACCATTAGTATGTTAAGAATTTAAAAAGGGAGTGTGAGCTAGGCACTGTGGCTCACGCCTGCAGTCCCCACTACTCGGGAGACTGAGCTGGGAGGACTGTTTGAGCCCAGGAGTTCAAGATCAGCCTGGGCAATATAGTAAGACTCTATAGCTAAAAAAAAAAACTTAAAAATTAGCCAAGTCTGGACCTATGGTGTGGTGTGTGCCTGTAGTCACAGCTACTCAGGAGGCCGAGGTGGGAGGATTACTTGAGCCCAGGAGTTCAAGGCTGCAGTGAGCTATGATCTGACCATCAGGCTACTGCATTCCAGCCTGGGTGACAGAGTGATACCCTGTCTCAAAAAAAAAAAAAAAAAAAAAAAAGGTAGGGAGAACTGGAAGAATCCAGGAGGGCTTTTGGAAGGAGGCATTAGTTGGGTGTGAAACAGTAGGTTATATTTAAAGACGTATCTACAAGAAGGAGCAGTGTTCCTGGCATGGCCACCGCAGGAATAAAGGCAGACAATCCTGTGGTCAGGGTCGGAGAACGGATGAGCAGGGCGGAAACTGAGTGTACCTGTCAGAAAGGAGTGGGTAGGACAAGGTTTCCCAAATTTAAGACTTTTATCTGAGTACTGCCTGTGCTTTTATTTACTTAATATTTAAAAAATGGATCCTTTTATTTTCCACTTAGTCTTTTCTTAAGCGCCACTGTTCATGAAATCACAGGTTTGGAACATGTAGTTATAACTTTTCTTCATTCACATTAAAATAAACAGGGCTCTACAATGCAGAACGAAGTTCATTCCAGGTGCCTCTGAACATCATTGGTGATGTGGAGCCCACACTTTTGAAACATTGGAGTAGGAGAAAGTTTAGAAAACTGAGGTGAATTCTAGAATGCGTAAAAGCCAAGCCGAGATGATTATTCTCCAGATAATGAGAGATGTTTCAGTTGTGTTGACAAAGGGCGTTGCTTTAGAGAAAGCTCATTACAGAGAAGGAAAGATCGTGCTGATGCTTTGAAGTAAAATCTATTATAACACTATTGGTATAGCTGGGTTTTCCAAGAACCAGTTAATAACACTACTCAGACTTTCATGTACATAAGAATCACTAAGGGAGGGTATATAAAAATATAGATCTATATAGATTTATATAGATCTATGTAGATAAAAATATAGATCCTCTGGCTCAACCTTGAGAGCTTTTGATGCTACACTTTAGAATAAGCTGGGAATCTATATTTTTAACCAGCTCTCCCAGAGATTCTGACTAGACTGGGCTTGCTTTGAGAAACACTGGACTAGAATAAAAATTGCAGGCCACAGAGGACTCCAGATAATTAATGGATCAAGCATTTGTACATAGATATGTCCTGAAATGTGACTGTATAACTTTATAATTTTTAAAGAAAGATTTAGAAGAATAATTATGTGAACTAGAAGTGTTGGGATTCATGTTAGAAGCAGAGGCGGAATGAATGCTGGATGGATTGGCATTGCATTTAGCACAGGGGTGGGAGGCAGGCGGAGCAAGGATTAGAGCTTGAAGGGCTGCGTGCAGGTGACAGCTGGCTGGCTCATTCACATTTTGGATTTTTC